ATTATCAGCAAAGGAAGGCCTGGATCTGCTTAAGTATTACTTGTTTAATGAGATCAGCTACTGTGTTGTTTGTTAATTTTTAGTTGAATATTAAAGCTTACTTAATTTTCTATCATCAGCTTAAGGAAGGTTTGGATCTGCTTAAGTATTACTTGTTCACTGAGATCAGCTAACTCTAATGAATAATTTCCTATATTGTATCCGTCACAAGGAAGGATTAATGGAAGAGGGAGGAAACAGACGACGACGAGGACGTCCGCCACTGCCCAAAGGAGAAAGGAAGAGAAGGAAGAATGCACATGATAGGGAAAGTCGCGCAACTAAAAAGGTAAATAAATTAATGTCCTGTTGTTTTCATAAGTATGGTTGGGTAGTGAATAAGTATTGATGTCCAATATGTGTGGAAAAGAATTTATCTGAGTTGAGCCTTAATTCTCTCTTATAGAACTTTTTGAAGATGCTCCTTTACTGTATTATTGCTCTAATGTCCAGTTCTTCGTATAAGTCCTGAATGGACTGAGAGTACTTATTGCGTGCTTAAATTGATTCAATTGATTATTAGGAGGCCATTATAAACATACTTATCTGCTTCATTATGAGAATTACTTTGAATGATTTTTCTCTATCAATCTCAGAAACTCTTAATAGGAATTTGAATGCATTTTAACTGTGGGGAGATTGTGGAAATTGATAAAGGAAATAAATACTTTATTATTTGATGAATTATTATTGGTCTGTTGGAGAAAGGCATGTTTTGTGATACTACTTTGGCTAAAAGGTGTCATATCCCACCCGTAGTTATATGGTATTCCTTCATTAGAACAGCAATAGAAACGCTTGTGACAGATTTCACTTTGGCATAATTTAGATAATTAGCAATGTACAGACCAAGTCATGACAGTTAGCATCAGTATTTCATAACAAATTAGGCATAAACAGAAGTTAAACATGACATTGTGTACATCAACAAAATAAGTTTTACTGCATTTTATAATTAGTTATAGCATGTGGGATTAGTCTCAATATAAATGAGACTTAAACAAAGAGAGTGCAAACATAAACACCAAAACCAATCAATAAGTATAAACTAAATGGCTATGGAGTCTGCTGTCCACTAGCGTATGTGTATTCACACTCTTGTATTCAAGCTAGTCTCAGTACATCCCTACTGCATGTGTAGAGGTCCACTATTCTCATTAGATCCATAACATGTTAAACCAAAACATAACACTCACCTACTTATATAGAAGATCATGCACAACACAATCTGTTTATAACATTAATCATCATTAGAAGCATATAAATATACATGCATGTCATTCAGCTTGCATTCAATTTCTTTTAAGTTAGTCTTTGGCTGATGACTATATGATGACTATAAAAGAAGTGGTGTCACCATGTGGGAGCTACTTTAGGGTTGTTAGAATGATTTTTCTATCATGTTAGCGTATGATTTGATTATGTGTATACAGAATATGTGGTTGCTGTTTGGCTATGGTTCTGTTTTGAGTGGAATCTCCATACTCACACTGCCTGGAGTTTCAAATGTCTCCTAGTTTCTTGCTTATATGGTTTTCAAGTTTTTTTGTTTGTCTATGTCATTTCAAGGATGTGGATTGGCATTATGGTGCAATAATCCCTTCATAGTTTAATATCCTATATGACCACTCTAATTTAAAACAAGCCAAGTGAAGGATGAGGTAGTAACGTACAATCTTAAAGGAAGCTCCCATGACTAGATGATAAGCCCTTGAGGCTACAACAGAGTTTTCACCTTTCCTCTCACTCTCCAGTCCTAGTGCTGCAGCAAACTTTTTATCAAAGATTTTTGTTCTTTAATCCCACAACCTTCCAGCAACCCTAAAGATGTGGAGAAGAATTTATTAATCGTTGATCTTGAGTCTATCCTCTTTTAGTTTGTTTTTTTATTTATTTTTATTTTTTATTATCTTTTGGATGCATTAGTTATGTCAGCGTTTAAATGCTGACTTAATGGTTTGATTAAAAGAGGTCTTAGACATATTATCTGTTTGTTTTTAGTGTTGATGGAGGGGATATGGACCATTTGTTTCTAAAATGCACTCAGTCCCTATATATTTGGATGAGATGCTGTACTCTTGGGGGGGAGTTAGCTTTGTTTTGTACTGATTCTGTTGATACTTGTTGTCTACATTTTGTCTATGAGATGTTTGATAGGTACATATAAATGTTAAGGTTGGGACATTAGTTTTCTTGGTTAATTACTTTGTGATTGATTTGGAATAATAGAAATGATTTCTGTTTGAATTATATAAATGTTTGAATTATATATTTATAGATTTTGCATTGCAAAGGATTTTGCATTAAATTTTGATCAAGATTTTATTTATTTTTTATATTTTAATCTAGAGTTTTGAAAAATTGGAGCATTCTTTAGTTGAGTAATAGATTTAAAAAAAGAAATGAATTGTGTACTTCAAAATCACCTATTTTAAATTATTAAATTAGGAACATTTGTATCAATAAGTTGGAAAATTTTGATTAATCTACATTCTAAATAGCCATTTGGTGTTGATATTGAAATATATAAACTTATAAATTAATATACATTTCTAGTATAAAACAAATTTGAAGAAATCTAATTAATGTTGAAAAAAAAAAGGTTGCATGTGCTATAAAACCTTTTGATTTACCATTACAAGTATTTACAATTCAAAAACAAAAATTAAAGGCACTTACAAAATTCAGCTATAGATGCATTAGCGAAGGATTCAAAACCAAAGAGCATCATAAACATTCTAACATGTTAATAC